TTTTTTCTCCCCCCCCCCCCCCCGCGGAGCTCTCTATCTATATATCTATATTCCCCTTATTCCCTCAACTGATGATATTAACATTTTTGGGGATATGTTGTGGTATTAATGGCAAAACGGGGCCATCTCAAGAAATAAAGCGTACCCAAAACAATGGATCATGGTAAATTTTGAATAATCACTGCATCTCGTCTTAACTAAGTTGTTATCCCAACTATTGGCTTAAAATTAAACAAAGTATATAATGATGCAAGTCCTGCCTTCAAATTTCTCTTGCTAATCCAATCATAATGTCAACTTCTATTGCAAAGGATTCTATTTAACTTTTGTCTTTGCAGTAAGGAGCAAAATTTAGTTCCAGTACATAGTTCTGGTCTGCGCAGAAATGGAAGCATTTCAGAAACAAAATGGAATATTGAGTTTGAAAAATTGACCAAAATATTCCAAACCATCTTGATACATCTCGAAATATTCTAAAATACTATAATATAGGAATTTTGCTATGCAGTCGATGATTTGTTTTGGTTTCTAGCAAAACCGGAATGTGACAATCTCTTTACTAGAAACGAAATAAAATTTTGATTCTTATTTTGTATGAGACAAGATTTACGTTTGTATCAGGCCAAAGGAAAGAGTGTTTTGCCTTTTTCTCTTGGTTTGTTCATTCTAGATAGATTTATATCCACGATCCTTTGATTATATGTTTCTAGATAGGGTATAGTGCTCACAGATGAAGGGTTTATTTGCTGAATGAGTTATTATTTATTGAACTCGTGTTTAATAAGTTTTCTAACTATAGTTACAATTGTGAAAGTGTTTAAGGTAAGAGTTTTTATCACAATGGTTAACTAAATACTTTATGGATGGCTCAGTTATCTTGATTAGAGAATTAATATTAGGGGTAATTTAATCGTTTACTTTATTCTATGTTGTCCTATTATATAAAGGCCTTTATTGTTTATTTTAAGTTAAGTTGTTGCACAGACTCATTCAGCTGTAGTAATATTCTCTTATCTTTTTCTTCTCTACCATTTCTTTTTGTCTTTTTGATCAATATTCACATCGTATTAGAGTGTGTTACTGTCCGAAATAAAAAATAAGACCTCATAGAAATAAGAAAGGATTTTTTTGCCAGCTAATAGAAGTTGACGTCATCATCGCCGATGATTACATCATTAGTTTCCGATCTTGAAGACCATCATCAGAGACAAGTCTATGGACTTCTCATTGGTGTGTTTCATTTTTGAATTTGAGTTTTTTTTCCTGGATAAGAGATGTCAATATTATTAATAACAGAAACAAAAAAGTTTGCTAGAACCAAATAAAGGTGGACAAGTCATCCAACTGTAATGATCGTAAAGAACAAAACAAGAAACATAAAAAATAGTGTTAACAGCATATTACAACCCACATAATGCTGTCCAGCTTGCTTTTGTAATAAAAAGTGGTACATCTTCAAAATCCTTAGTCAAAGATGCTCAAAAAGAGGCCAAGAAAAAAAGTCGATTCCACATTCTATCAATTTCGACCGATTTATCTTCCAAGATCCTCGCATTTTTCTCCATCCATAAAACCCAAATAGTGACAAAAAAGACATAATGCCAAAGGCTTTTCCCCTTTTTGCTTCCTCCTAAACCTCGAAAATCCAAACAAAACATAGATGACATATATCTCGGGCCACCCAACAAATGCCAACTAGTGTAAACAACTTGTTCCATAATGATAAAGCCATAGGACAACGCAAGAATAAGTGATCTACACTTTCACCATCTCTTCTACACATCACACACCATTGTGGTAAAAGACAAGCTATAGGTCTCCTTCTCTGAAGCACATCATTAGTTTGAAGCACATCATTAGTATTAATCTTGCCGTGAACAATTATGCATGTACAATTTGCTCCTTTAAACGAACATCAGCTCTCCAAATCTTAACTAATGGAAGAAATAGTGGATGTGAGGGATTATCAATTAAGGTTTCAAAGTAGGATTTACAAGAAAAAGCACCTAAAGGATCACTTATCCAAAGTCTTGTATCCGAAGTTCTTTGAGATAAGGAGATACTATCAAGCATAGAAAGTAGTACCAACAACTCCAATTGTTTCCTACCATTAAGATTCCTATGAAATCCAAAATCCCAAGAAACTGAAAAAGAAAAGGATGTTACAAAAGATGCAATGCACTTCCTGTGATAACAAGATACACGATAAAGACAGTGAAATAAATTGGAAAATGAAGATTCCCTCCTCTAAATATCCTCCCAAAAGAGTCCCTTAATCCATCTCCCATGGTGAACTTCATTCTCTGAGTAAAGTTAGGCAACCTCTTAGATATGAATTTTCATGGATTTCGAAAAGTATCTCTTTCAACCGCATTTGCATCCCACCCATATTTGTTCCTAATAACCATATGCCATAGTGAATCTTGCTACATTTCTTTTCAACAAATTCCCCAAAGAATCTCACCCTTATTGTTTGGTGTAGTCACAGTATCCCAACAAAGCAAATGATCCTTCTTCCCTTCCCCCACTCATTTCCTATAAGAAATCCCTAATCAATCTTTAAATTCTCCTTGCCAACAAGCAAGGTATCTTAAAAATAGACAAGAAATAAATAGGAATACTTGTTAGGACTGCATGGACTAATGTTAGCCTAGCCCCCTAGAAATAAAGACTCTCTTTCACCTATCTAATCTTTTTCCCATGTTCTTCGTAATAGGATCCTGACAAGTTATTGGCATCGGGTTCCCGCCTAGAGGAAGACCTAAATACCTCAAAGGCCAATCACCCACAATGCATCTTAGATCTCTAGCCAATCTCTCAATCTTCTCCTAACTAGAATTGATCCCAACAATTATGTTTTTCTCTTTATTAATCTCTAACCCAGACATGAAGTCATGTCGTTAGCAAATTACAGATGAGACACAGAAATTCCATCCCTGCCAGTAACAAATCTCTCAACTAAATTACATCTCTCCGCCCTCTCCATTAACTTATTCAACCCATCCACCGCAAAGGTAAACAAGAATAGAGATAAGAGATTCCCCTACCCGAGTCCCCTGGATGCTTTAAACCTCCCCCCTTGGTCTTAACAAATTCATTGATCCTAAACATCCCTTATTCCAAGTCCTCCACTTAACTTCCAAACCTTTCACTTCCATAACAAAATCCAAAAAAGACCAATCTACTTGATTATATGCTTTCTCAAAGTCAATCTTCGAACACAATACCCTCCTTCCCTTGTACTCTATAATCTTCAACCGCCTCATTAGCAATGAAAGCTGCATCCATAATTTGTCTCACTTTCACAAAAGCCCTTTGACACCTAGAAATAGTATCATTCAAGTATCCCCTAAGTCTTAATGAAAGAAGTTTATCTATAATCTTGTACAAACTTGTAACAAGACTAATAGGTCTAAAGTCCTTTAATTTTAAAGAATTAACTCTTTTAGGGACAAGACAAATGAATGTAGCATTTGTAACCGCATTCATTGACCATTATTGAAAAACTCCTCAAAAAATCTCAACAATTCATCCTTAATATCATCCCAACAATGTCCTTCATAGTCGGTGTTTTGATTTTTTTGAATATTTTTGAGAAAAATACATTGAAATTCTTCGATCTGCAAGTTCTAGGGGTTTTGCCAAAATTTTTGGTTCCAGTCTTTCATGAGGGGTGTGACTAAATACCATTGTTCATCTAATGAGGGACTCGAACCAGTTTGAGGTGTTTTAGGCTGGATTTTGGCAGATCCTGGGTTTGGACTCCCTTGTTCTTTGACCCCCAAAGCTTCGGCTACCCTTGATTTTGCGTCTTGGTTGGTTTGAATGTGTTTCTAGTCTTCTTACATGTTGGGTCCTTATTTTCTGTTTGATTGTTTGGTCTGGAGTGACTAAATCTATTTGGATTAGATATTTGCTTGTTGCATTGCTTTGGGCATTGAATCTCCCCTTGAATTTGATTTTCTGGCTTGAAATTTTGCCGGGATAGATTTGTTTGATTGTGCTTGGATAATTGATAGTGATTCAAACCATGGAAAAAGCAACTTTGATTCACTTCGGGCTATTAGTGTGAGATTAACAGTGAAATTATGTTTATTGGGCTTACCTTATTAAAAAAAATTTGTTGGGGAAAGAAATATTGAATTACATTAGTAGTGTTATACAAGCTCTAACTGATATTAAGGCATAAAAACATGCTGATTTGAAGAACACTTGGGACATCAATAATGAAAAAATCATCACTTGAATTAACAACTCAGTTGATTAGGCTATTAGTGTTCATTTGTCTAAGTTTACCACAACAGAGGTAATTTGGGACTATTTGACCACACTATTTATTCAGTCTAACTTGATAAAGAAGTATCAACTAGAGCATGAGATTCGAGATGCAGTCAAGGAGACAAAAACATACAAGAATTCTACTTGGTTATTATTAGATATTTGCTTCACTTGCATTGTTCAATAGGAAATATTCATTGAGGCATTAATTGATCTCACTTAGATGACAACATGTTTGCATCATGTTGCTAATTTTTTTTTTATTAATTTGCACAATGGTTTTGCCTTGGTGGTAGTGTAATTATGTTCTTTCTTGCTATTTATTGTAAAGGTCCCATCTGGTTGAACTCTCTTAGCTTGTTGTGTGTCATACCCATGTTATCTGGATTGTGAATTGATGCATGTGGTAAGCGTAGGGATAGGTGGTACAATACTTTCTCCGATACGCGATGTGAAAGGGGTAGGCTTGGGTTGTACGGTGTTATGGATTGTAGTTCACTTTTGAACTCTCAATTGGGTCGTTTTAATTAGTTTTTATTACTTACATGCCAATTAAATTTTATATGTATTTATAATAAAAGTTCTGCATTTATGTTACCAAAACTATTTTTTTCACACTTTGGTGTTAGGGTTACAATTTGGGGCTTTATGGATCTTGGGTTGATTTGATTACAATTTGAGAGTAGAAATTTGCGTGACCTAGGCCATGAGCCGACACTGCTTCAAGTTGTGCAACCCTGAACCATGGTAGGATGCAGATCATGGGGCGCCTGGGGTCTCTGCGATAATTCTTGTTTATTTTAATTTTTAAAAGATTGAAGGGTTTCCTTAGTTCCAATCCTAGGATCATGTTATTGTAGTCTATCATGTCATTGTGTATTGTTTAATAGATTTGAGTTCCTGTTGTGCCTGTTCTCTATTAATCATCCTTAGTCACTTTCAGACTGTCTAATGGAGTTGGTTTCCTGTTCTATGCCATACTCCTGGCTAACTAATTCTTGTACATTCTAATCATTTTAAAAGATCGAAAGGTTTCCTTAGCACCAAACCCAGGATATATGTTATTCTAGTTGATCAGGGAACTGTGGATTGTTCTTAAGGGATTTTAGTTCCTATTGTGACTGTTCTTGTTTAGATATTCCTAGTCAGTTTCAGGCTGTCTTTGGTTCCTTTGCGATGTGCAACTTTTACATGTCTAGGACCTCGGCTGCTAATATGTTCATATGGGTTTGGAAGTCTGGATTGAATTAATTATAATAAGGACTGTCTTGTGAAGATCTTTGATCGGAACCTTCGGGTCTACTCTCTCTTAGCGGTGAAACACACCTTCGCTATTGCCCCTCTGCTTAACCTCGCTATCGCATTGATTCTTGCCGGTCCATCCAGAATTCTTATTGAGATCGAGATCTTTTTCCATTAGATCTAGTTTGGTGATGGTTTCCATAACATAGCTTGCCCGGACCAGGCTTTCGGTGTTTGGTCTGGCCGGCCGTAATGAATGATAGTTGTTCAGGAACAAAATAAAAAGGGTTTCGCTATCGACCTTCGTTTAAAGCCGTAAATTCGCTCTTCAACCCTTCGCTATCGCAAGAATATAGCAATCGAAGAGCTATCACTCAGCTGCTTCGCGTATTACGCCATATTGCCCGAATGGGACATGTTGTAAGAGGTCAGTGATGAGCGTAGGCCAGGGATAATCGTAGGAGGCATGCCCCAAGGGCAGTAGCAACAGTGTGGTACCAGGTGCCATCGCTAGATTGAGATCTGGAGGGTGGCGGGGACTTCTACTGTCTTGTATCAGGTGATGAGAAAGGGGTGGTAGGTTTAGTAGGGCTCGATGTCAACTCTCAGAATAGTTTCAAGGATTAAACCGTTCATATTCAATATTTGATTAATTCAAAAATTCTTACTCACTTGATGGAATAGTACAAATTATATGTGATGCCGCTGCAGATATGACCTAGAAATTTAGTTTTAATGCCATATTTATCTCCTGAATACTGCATCATAGGAAGTAGCATTTAGAACCTTCATTATTGTTATTATATTGGTGTTTGACACATGCTTGATTCTTATTTCACCTCTTCATATTAAAAAAAAAACTCTAGTGTACAAGGTCTATATGAATTTCATTTACTGCTTAACTGATTTCACAGCCAGTGAAGGAAAAACTTCTTAGTTTCTTTTGTAGATTTAGTTGATATTTTACCTGAATTCTCTCCTTATCTCCATTTATCTTCGTTTAGATGAATGAGTAAAGGAAACGAGAATCACTGAGAAAGTAATCAAGTAATCTTATCTTTGACAGTCCATGGATGCAGATGTGGAAGAGAAGCTTTCAACTGTTCAACTTCGGGACTTGATAGAGATGATAAGAAATGCAGAAAAAAGTAGGATAAATGTTTTACATTTATTTTCTGCACTATATATTTGGTTGTTTTTCTTTTTTTTTTTAAAATATCAGACCTATACATGACTGAATTTTACTTTTTCAATCATATGATAGATATTCATCTTCTCAACCAAGCTCGAATTCGCGCACTTGAAGATCTTGAAAAGATTCTTGAAGAGAAGGAGGCTTTGCAAGGAGAAATCAACATTCTGGAAATGAGACTGGCAGAAACTGATGCACGGATCAGAGTTGCTGCACAAGAAAAAATACATGTGGAACTACTGGAAGACCAGTTGGAAAAGTTGCGAAATGAGCTTTCTAGTAGGGGTGGCAGTGAAGTAGATAGACATGATGTGGCTGGTGTAATTCCTTTTTCTCTTGATAAAAATGTCTATTCTATTAGTGAGGAACTTGATTTGTTGCGGGCAGAAAATATGTCCCTGAAGGAGGATTTACAAGTGCTCAAGACAGCGTTCGGCAATGTCAAGGGAACAGATGAACGTGTGGAGATGTTGGAGAAAGACCGCTCTTTTTTGGAATCTTCTCTGAAAGAGTTGGAGTTTAAACTTGGCGTTTCTCAAGAAGATGTTTCAAAAATTTCTACCTTGAAATCCGAATGCAACACATTATACGAGAAGGTAGAACATTTGCAATCATTGCTGGATAAAGCAACTAAACAGGCGGATCAAGCTATTTTGGTGTTACAACAAAACCAGGAGCTCCGGAAGAAGGTTGATAGGCTGGAGGAATCTCTTGAAGAGGTTAATGTCTATAAGTTATCATCAGAAAGATTGCAACAGTATAATGAATTAATGCAGCAGAAAATAAAACTTCTGGATGAACGTCTTCAAAGGTCTGATGAAGAGATACATTCGTATGTACAGTTATATCAAGATTCTGTGAAGGAATTTCAAGAAACACTTAATAGTTTGAAAGAAGAAAGCAAGAGAAGAGCATTGGATGAACCTATGGATGACATGCCTAGGGAATTTTGGAGTTGTTTATTGCTTACAATTGATGGTTGGTTCCTTGAGAAGAAAATTTCGGCAGACGATGCAAAGCTGTTGAGAGAAATGACGTGGAAAAGAGATCGGCGAATTTATGATGCATACATGTCATGCAAAAAAAAGAATGAGCGTGAAACTATTGCTGCTTTTCTCAGACTTACATCATCCCCAACGACTAGGTAAATGCTTTTAAGTAGTGAATCACCATTCATACATGGTAGAGTCTAACTTGTGCTTCTTCTCATTGTCCAGTCCAGGATTGCATATCATTCATATTGCAGCTGAGATGGCACCAGTTGCTAAGGTGAACTATAACTGAAGTTTAATTATTTTACTAACTTATGCGAGTGTACTAGGCTGAACAGCTTCAAATTTGCCATTTTTTTTCTTTTTTTCTCTGCAATTTCTTTCGTAACTCAACTCATTCTGTCAAGATAAAGGTAGAGTAGCTACGGAGTAGCTTTTGATTGAGTGAGCAAACGATTTATCTCTGGTGGAATCATTTCGTGTGTATAAATAATTGATAAGTTACATCAGTGGTGCAACTGCAATTAAGCTTCAGCGGTGAAGTGTTAGATTTCATTCATTTTGTCCATGCCTTGAATTTTTAGAAATCATGATGGGATAATAACCTATATTGATGTTCAGACCCACTTGATGCAAGTTAACTATACTTTTTATATTGTTCAATAATGAGAAGCAAATTTATGGAACATTGTTTACTCAAAAAACCGGTCAGTTATCTCCTTCCTGTGTCGTCTATATGGTGATGTGGTTGATTTTCTTAAATGGTTATGCTAGATGCTCAATATTATAGAAAGATGTAGAAACTTTAAGCTTAGGTAACCAAGATGCAGGAGGCCTCTTTGTGGAACAAACTAGTCAGGGGTAGGGGGGAGTGGGATAGCTTAATTCTACAAGAAAAGTGATCTAAGAAGGACTGGTGGAGTTTAACAGCTAATAAATCTTCAACCTGGAAAATTCTTCTGACCTTGTTTAAGTGTTTGTGTTCGTGTCTTTGAAACTGTTCAGCACTTTTTTCTAATTTTTGATTTAGGACCTTTTAATTCAATCAGTTCCAACTGAAAATGAAGGATCGGTGGGATCTTTACGAGGAACTGGGAGGGTGGTTGAACAAAGCATTATGAGTAATGTACAATGTGTATTTTCTGAAAGAACATTCTGAAAATGCCTATAAGATGATATAAAAGTTTTTAAGGGGAAAAATATTTTTTAGAGAAATACTGGATTACTACTGAAGGGGAGGAGCGGGACACATGCTTTGGGTATTGCCGCTGAATTTAAGGTTTTATTGGATGCATGATGTTCGTAGACTTTATTATCACTCTTGGGAGCTTGCTGTCTTCACTTTCGTTCATCCTCTGTGGCACAGATGTGGCTGTGTGGTTTGGTATTGGGTCTAGATTTTTCATCTCTTTATGCATGTATAGTCCTGACACATATCAATGTTTGGTACGATTTTTATCTGTCATGCTCGTGTTTGTGTGTATGTGAGGATTGAGGTGTTCTTTAAGAATACACCTCAAAATCATGTGTGGCACATTTTGTGCAGATAACAAACGCAAGTGATTAGGTCACTCATATATTGTGCTCTCTCTAGGGTACTATCCTTGCATCTATTAGAAAAAATGATGATAACTGAAAAAGCTCTATTTCGTTCTTTATTTTCTATTCTGCCAAAGAAGAAAAACTGTGAATTATTTTATCAACTGTTCTATTTTTGGGTTTTATCTAGAGTATTTTTGAATTTTTACGTTTTGAAATTTACTTTGAGGCCATTTCCTTTTTGCATTAAAGGTTGGTGGTCTGGGGGATGTCGTGACTGGTCTTGGTAAAGCGCTGCAGAAGAGAGGACACCTTGTGGAAATTGTTCTTCCCAAATATGATTGCATGCAATATGAGCAAATTCGTGACTTAAAGGTATTTATTCACTGTTCGACTACTTGATTCTCATACTTAAAAAGGTCTTGTTTTTTTATTTTTAAATGTTTAACCTATTTGCTTATGCCTGTACAGGCATTAGATGTGGTGGTAGAGTCATATTTCGATGGTCAATTATTCAAAAATAAAGTTTGGGTTGGCACTGTTGAAGGTTAAGAACAATTTCATTTTGTATAATATGCATTTATTATTTCATTTTATGATAATTTCGTGTTTACAGGCCTTCCTGTCTATTTTATTGAGCCTCATCATCCGGGCAATTTCTTCTGGAGAGGACAGTTTTATGGGGAGCATGATGATTTCAAACGTTTCTCATTCTTTAGCAGGGCAGCCCTTGAGTTGCTTCTTCAAGCCGGCAAGAAACCAGACATAATTCATTGCCATGATTGGCAGACAGCTTTTGTCGTATGGATGATTTGGTTCTTAGTAGCTATTTTTCCTTTCTTTTGTTCCTAACACTTAAGTATTTTTCGATGAACAATTAGAATCTCATATTGTTTTTTCAAGGCACCACTTTATTGGGATCTATATGCGCCGAAAGGACTGAATTCAGCTAGAATATGTTTTACATGCCACAACTTTGAGTATCAAGGGGCTGCACCAGCTTCAGAATTAGCATCATGTGGGCTTGATGTTAACCAGCTAAACAGACCTGATAGGATGCAGGACAACTCAGCACATGACAGGGTCAATCCTGTAAAGGTAATGTATTTGGATAGAATTTGTGTGGAAATGGTGGTTATTTTGTCCCTCCTCATTTTTCTTCAATATTTTCACATATCCATCTCATTTGTTAGGGTGCACTTGTGTTCTCAAACATTGTAACTACAGTTTCACCAACCTATGCCCAAGAAGTGCGGACTGCTGAGGTAGGGATATATCCTGCCATTGAATCTTGTAACCTCTTGCTCTATATTTCTCTAAAGTTGAACTCAGAGTTGCTTGTATTGCAGCCTCATATTTGATAAGTAGGTCTTTTATGGAATCCGTAGAAATAGATTTCATGAGATCCCAAGATAGAAGGATGTTAAGAGAGCTTGTGTCTCACATCGAATAATTAGAACCACCAAGGTTGGTTTATATGCTTTTGAGAGGCCACTCCACTCATTACCAAATAGTTTTGGGTTAGATGCCCTAACATGGTATCAAAGCTGGGTCTTGAATGGTTAGTGGGCCAAGTCTCTTACCTATTTAAATTTTCTGGTATGTATAGTTATTTGTTTGTTTGTTGACCCCACAAGCAAGCCCAGGTCCCACATGAGGGAGGATGTTAAGAGAGCCAGAATCTCACATCAAGTAGTTAGGACCACCAATGTTGGTTTATATATTCAAGAGGTCCCTCCACCCAGTGATAGTTGGTTTTGGGTTGGATGCTCTAACAAAAGAATTGGGGTTTTACTTTCTTTCAGAATTTAGGTACCAAGATTTTGTTTATTCACTCAGGCTGTAGGAACATTGTACTCTTTAATGCTGTTGAGTCAGTAGATCACCATGTGTTGTGAATAATAGTGCCTATTAGCATCAATGAGACATCTGGATGTCAATTTAGCAGTCGATAGTTCAGAATCTCTTTTTTGTGGACTGGGATATGTATCGGATATTGCACCTTGAAGTCAGCCAACACTTAAACGCTGCAAGGGTTAATGCCTGTCTAAGAATAGACTAGCTGTAACTGAGTTTTGCTTCATTTCTCAGTCTCTTACTTGACTTGTGTGTCTGTCTACGGGCCTAGTCATCCTTTTTATATTTCTTAGCCACACTGCCCCAAGTAAAGAAAAAAATAAAAGATTCTTTTTGGTCGCCTGGGAAGTGGCAAGTATAAACCAAGTTAGCAATAAATCAAATAATGCAATACGGGTATGGTTTGTGTTAGGAAGGCTGATACTGCTTAAAAATTTACATTAGTTTTTCCCAATTAAGCTGTTTGTCAGATACTAACAATCTTCCAGTGGGTGTGTTTCCTTTCCTATTGCGGCTGGTTCAACGATTCACTATATTATGTATTGTCCTATGTTGCGTGTAGTCACTAATAGTGTTAGGTGCATACTGTGTCTTGAAGCAGGACTCTTCTAATAAACAGGTGTGTCGTATAAGAAATACATCATCTCTGAATTTGTCCAAATTTTTTCTGATAAGTCCCTCAATTGTTTTAAAATTGTAACAATAAAAGGGGTTAATTTCTGTTTAGATCTTTATTTAAAAAAGGAATTTAGAGGGTTTGTGAGCAAGATCCTCAGATCTGTTTGAGTTAAGTTACAATCGGGTCTCTCACTGAGAAAATGAAACTAGATGTAATTCCTTTCACTACTGGTCAGCTAATTAGAATAGAACTTTGAGAAGGTTATCACCTTTCTCTCTCATTCTTGGCTTTTCTTTCAGCTTCATGTCTTCCACCAATTGGTTCAATTGCGATCAAGAGTTAACAAGCCCCATGTCTGAGAAATGTCTTATGATTGTATAAGTACTTTTGCCATGTTGACTTGGGTAGCTAGGATCACCCATTCAATTAAATTACACAAACGGTAAAAACTTGTCTTATGCAAGGATCAAAACAAAGGGTTGAAATGAACGAAACATTTATGTTTTCAAGGAGACCAAAACAAAGCTGTGATTGAATTGAAATTCCAATGGTTCGAGGTGTTTTGGAATATTTTGAGGTGTTTCAAGGTGTTTCGAGATCTTTTTATCAATATTTCGGAATGTTTTGAGGCGTTTTAAGATATTTTTGTATATGTCGACCAATGTTTTAGAAATAATTCCAAAATGTTATTATTCATTTGCATTTTGTTTCCGAAACGTTTTCGTTTCTTTGGTGACCGAAAAAATANTTAGCAATAAATCAAATAATGCAATACGGGTATGGTTTGTGTTAGGAAGGCTGATACTGCTTAAAAATTTACATTAGTTTTTCCCAATTAAGCTGTTTGTCAGATACTAACAATCTTCCAGTGGGTGTGTTTCCTTTCCTATTGCGGCTGGTTCAACGATTCACTATATTATGTATTGTCCTATGTTGCGTGTAGTCACTAATAGTGTTAGGTGCATACTGTGTCTTGAAGCAGGACTCTTCTAATAAACAGGTGTGTCGTATAAGAAATACATCATCTCTGAATTTGTCCAAATTTTTTCTGATAAGTCCCTCAATTGTTTTAAAATTGTAACAATAAAAGGGGTTAATTTCTGTTTAGATCTTTATTTAAAAAAGGAATTTAGAGGGTTTGTGAGCAAGATCCTCAGATCTGTTTGAGTTAAGTTACAATCGGGTCTCTCACTGAGAAAATGAAACTAGATGTAATTCCTTTCACTACTGGTCAGCTAATTAGAATAGAACTTTGAGAAGGTTATCACCTTTCTCTCTCATTCTTGGCTTTTCTTTCAGCTTCATGTCTTCCACCAATTGGTTCAATTGCGATCAAGAGTTAACAAGCCCCATGTCTGAGAAATGTCTTATGATTGTATAAGTACTTTTGCCATGTTGACTTGGGTAGCTAGGATCACCCATTCAATTAAATTACACAAACGGTAAAAACTTGTCTTATGCAAGGATCAAAACAAAGGGTTGAAATGAACGAAACATTTATGTTTTCAAGGAGACCAAAACAAAGCTATGATTGAATTGAAATTCCAATGGTTCGAGGTGTTTTGGAATATTTTGAGGTGTTTCAAGGTGTTTCGAGATCTTTTTATCAATATTTCGGAATGTTTTGAGGCGTTTTAAGATATTTTTGTATATGTCGACCAATGTTTTAGAAATAATTCCAAAATGTTATTATTCATTTGCATTTTGTTTCCGAAACGTTTTCGTTTCTTTGGTGACCGAAAAAATACACTGAAACACAATTTTAATCCTTGGTTTTATGTTTTTAGCCCAATGTGATTCAGGATAAGCTATCTTCATGGGATAGAAAATGCTGTTCGCACCACTTTTTGATCTCCAAATGTAGTTTTTTTTTCCGCATATTTGTAAAAAAGTGACATATTATTCTTAGTTTAATGCTTTTTTAGTCCATATTTTTAATACCTGAATTCCACTTGGGGCCTTTGCTTATATATTTCATGGATGTTATACAGGGAGGGCGGGGCCTTCATGCAACCCTTAATTCTCACTCTAAAAAGTTTGTTGGAATTCTAAATGGAATTGATACTGATGCATGGGATCCTGCAACTGATAGTTTTCTCAAAGTCCAGTACAATGCCTATGATTTTCAGGGAAAAGCAGAAAATAAAGAAGCTTTAAGAAGACATCTTGGGCTTTCTTTTGGTGCTGTCAGGCAGCCATTGGTAATTGATATTTTTCATGATTAATCTTTTGAATGCTAATAATGCATAGGAGTGTCAACCGTGTCGGATTAAGTGGGTTCGTGTGTGAAAAAACATTTAACCCTTATACGATTCGTTTAACTAAATGGATGGAAACCTACAAATCGAACCCGATTCGTTTGTTAAACGGGTTACCTGACATCACTCGTTTAACCCGTTTAATAAAATTTTTTTATTATAATAATAATAAAATAATTATTGAACTTTTTTTAATTGATCTAATTATTAAACAACATATATTATTCTGACTAAAAAAAATTGACTAATTATTAATTTTTTATTATTTTAATTTTATTTAAATGGGTTAATGAGTGATAAACGGATTGACATATCTCACTTGAACAAGTCTATCAGGTCCACCTGTTTACCGCTCACACCCATTAATACCTCACGTAAACCCGCTTAACTTCGTGCTTATTCATCTCGGTTAATTGTGTTGTCGCATTTTGACAGGCGTACTGATGCATGATGCTACATTATCAGTTTTCTTTAGATATATGACGCAGTTTCTTTTCCTCAAGAAAGTGAATGAGCTCTATTTGAACTTCTATTAGAACAACATAGTGAGATAATGATTTTATAAACTGTTTCGGCCTCTATAATACATCAACCATGATATCTTTCACTAGCTTTTGAGTTTTTTGATAGAATGAATTTGTTGGAGAATTTCGCACATGGGGAACTCAATTCAATGTAGTGTATGATGTATCAGCCACTAGAAATTTGAGTTTGTATGATGTATTTTGTTTGTATCATGCACTTGTTAGAGAATGACTGGGAGAGAGTTATAGCTAAGAGGTGTTATGAAGGGATCTTTACAGGGATGACAGAGGGTTTGTTTGCCTCTTTAAGGCCTGCCATTTTAGGCTATAAGAGAATTCAGGATCTTCCACAATCTTGTTGGTAACTAAGTTGGGGTTCATCTAATTGAAATGGGAATTTGGTAGATGTGTGTTGGAAGAGAAGTTTTGGGGACTTGTTAAGGAGTGCGGCTCAAAAGAAGTGATGGATACTTATTGAGGAAGTTCATGTTAAAATGATTTTGGAAGGTGGCGGGATTTTGGAATATGTTATCTCCTTTTGGGGTAAATAATGGAGAGCATAGTTGTCAAATCGTGTATCAAAAAACGTATCATTTTTTAAAAATCGTGTATCATAAGATACGCATAATTTTAATTTTTAAATAATTATTAATAAAATATATGTATATACCTTTATAAAAAAGTCATAAACTCATAATAACATAATATTTTATTAATATCGTACAAACTATTCAAGTTTCTAACTTAGTTCAGTAATATCAAAATGCAAAGATTTATAATTCAAACTTCTAATATCAACTGNAGCTCATAATAACATAATATTTTATTAATATCGTACAAACTATTCAAGTTTCTAACATAGTTCAGTAATATCAAAATGCAAAGATTTATAATTCAAACTTCTAATATCAACTGCATGAACAACTTTAATATTAACCAGGAATTTTGAATTCAATTGAATAACATTAACAATAGACTTTATTTATTTTTTTTGAACTATAACCACTGAAACGACGTTGTTTCACTAGTTAGTGATTTAAAAATAAGTCACAGGATAAAACAATGTCATTTCAACTCCAAAAAACAAAAAAAAATAAATAAAAAAACAGAATCGTCACGTATCGTACGTATCGTATGATACGGTGCAAAAACGATAGAGAGACACGATACGTATTATTTTTCAGGTGTATCGTGACGTATCGTATGATACGTGTCGCGTATCGTACGATACTATTAACTATGATGGAGAGTATGTTTAATTGCATGTATTATGTTGTATATGGATTTAATGCAACTCTTTTGAGATCTTTGAAAATGGCACTGGTGGAGGACTGCTTTTGTGTGGACAAGCATGCTTTTATTGGAATCCAAATTTAATTCAGCTGTGCCTGATTGAACAGAGTTAGATAATTTGTTCTGCAATTTCTCTGCTGGGTCTTGAGCATTGTAATTTAGTTAGAAGGCCAAGATATTATCTAAGTATATTATTAGCTGTGAGTGAGGTGATGAATTAGCGAACTAAGTGTTGCTGCATTGGTTATACTTACGGGCATATCACTTTCATTTTCCGGACTTGTCTACTTGGGTGAGGGATATATTTGAGAGGGGCAAGGTGGATCCATGGATGCTTAGTGAAGAATGTGTAGAAAATGACCTCTTTTTGTTTTGTCTTTTGAAGGAGAGGAACAAGAGGCCTGTTAAGGCTACCAATTCACCAAAGTTTAAGCTAGTGGGAGATAGTTCAAGCATTGTTTAGCAGGTTACTAATGCCCCTCGCTCCACAGAGGTTTCTCCTTGGGCTTGGCGACCTGTTTGGCCACACTGATTTTTTTAGGGCCTAGGATTGGGAAATAGCCATTCGAGGATGATTAAGGGTCGAAACTTTGTATGGAAACATATCAAAAATATTTCAAAAACCTTTCGGAAACAAATTAAAAAAAGAGAAAAAATTATAAATTGACCTGAAACATGGTTGAAACATTCCAAAAGACTTCAAAACATATGAATGTCGATACTAAACCATTGATTCATGCCGTTCTCTATTTCCGTTGTTTTGGAGGAAAGGAAACGAAATTTTAATTTGGGGCCTACAAGACTAAATTTGTTGGCTATGTCAAGGCTTTGGTGATTTTGGTTGGCGTCGGCCTAACCTAGAATGTAAATATATTTATACAAACATGCATATAAATATTTGTCTTCATTGTATTGATATGAGCTATATATTTTACTTTTCAATATACAAGTTCTAAATCCATTTTGACATAAGGTCAAGTGGAAGGAATGAGTACTAACCGTTCTTATATATTTGTTTTTTGTGTGCAATGATTAAAATTTCACTGCGTTTCTATCTAGGTGACTGAAATATTTAGGTTTCTGTTGAAACCAAAATAAATCAATAATTGAATATCAAAACTCGTATGTTTAAGATTATTTCGTAAAGTTTTAAGATATTTCAAAATCATAATTCAAGTTTTTTCTTTTCACTTTTTCCATTTTGTTTTCGAAGCATTTCTTAAATAGTTAAAATAATAGGAGTAGGTTAGGGTTTGGGATAAGAGAAAGAGAGATGAAGAGAAAGAGATTTGAGAAAAAGGTGTTTGCAGTTTGTTACTTTCTTTGTCCTACACCCTCTTATNTCCGAAGCATTTCTTAAATAGTTAAAATAATAGGAGTAGGTTAGGGTTTGGGATAAGAGAAAGAGAGATGAAGAGAAAGGGATTTGAGAAAAAGGTGTTTGCAGTTTGTTACTTTCTTTGTCCTACACCCTCTTATTTATATTTGACAAATATTGAGAGTAATTACAATATTGCCCTACATTGACTTAGAATGACTAATAACATAAAGGGAGAATTACATCCAAACCCCCTGAGATTTGTTACTTAATCACTTAACTCCCTAACATTTGAAATATTATACATAGACTACTTGAGGTTTATATGCGTGTAACACTTACACCCCAACCGTCAATATCTGTTAGTAAATCCGTTAGTAAATTACACCTAAACCCCTTGAAGTTTGTAGGCATACAACACTTAAACCCATTAAGTTTAAAATATTGCACTTAGACCACTTATTAGTTACCGAACTATCGAAATCCATTAAAAGACTAAATTATCCCAATTAAAGATAAAAGATATTGTATCCATTACGGTTTGATCCCTTGTTTGGTTTTTTGGATTTATTCTAATAGATAGTATAATTGTATAGTAATTATGATTTTTATAAGAAAAAATTGAATTTTTATTTTTGATTTTATTTTTATAAATCATATAATAGAACATGAATTTTAGTTATAAAATTTAAAATATTTGATATTTTATTTTTAATTGAAGTATTTTTAGTATAAATATAATATTTAAAACTTGAGTAGTCTAAATATTACATGCCTAAAAATTTCAGGGGGTCTGAGTGCAATTTACTAACGAATAGACTATCGGATATTGACGACAGGTATCTAAGTGTTACGCACATACAAACTTCAGGGGTCTATGTGTAATATTTTAAATGTTAGGGGTATAAGTGATTAAGTGACAAATCCTAGGGGTTGGGTGTAATTTTCCCTAACATAAAAGAATTCTAACAGAAACATTTTCAAAACCTTTTCATTTCCAAGCTGAACAAAAATATGCACCGAAACGATATTTTGGTTTTTGTCCGTTGGTATAACCATAATTGCTCACCAAAAGTATAAGAAAATTGATGTTTGTTTAGCCTAGTTTGGGCTTGGCCATTGAGATACTTGGGCTTGGGCTTGGCTTGATCTAAGTACTTCAAGCCCAAGGTTGGGCTGCGCAACACGACTTCAATCATTAGGTGTTTCTGGTCGAGCCAATCTCTATTGCCTGCCCAGCCCCTGGCCACCCTTTGGTGCGGATGGCAAATCAAAAATGAAGGCAAACAGACTATAAATTACTGACAAAATGCAGGAGCAATTCATGTTAGACTATTATTTTTGCTATAATTGAAGTTATTATGAATGGCCAGGGAATACATATGAAGCTCACAAAAAGAATATTCGAGTTTGATGAAGCTTCTGCAGCATAATCATAAGTGACACCTCTAAAAAAGGATAGCTTAATCGTATTCAAATCGGATAGTCCATGACATCCATCAAGTTCATTGAGCATGAAAAATCATGTGCTGTAATTAGATACAATTCGAGACCTTAATATGTTCAACTGAATGGAAGGGGATGTTAATGTAGACAGGAAACTCAGGAAGTGATAAATGCTGCTGTCACATGGTTAACAGCTGGCAATCATGCTTTTTGATAATTTAATTGCATGCTTAATTTATGGTTAATACGTCATTTGTCACTCATTTGAAGTGTCACTGATGTCATGATCATATTTCCACTGGTGCTAATTCTTGTTATAATTGACTTGTGGAGAAACCAAAGATAGAGAGAACAGGTAACTTGAAAATTTGAAATAAGAAGAGCTGAAATATTAACTGAACGCACCTGATGCTTGGAACTCTAATATAATCGTGGATGAGTAGCATTTTCCACCCCAAAAGATGAGAATTTTTAGATTGCACCCTCAATCAGATAAAAAAGGAGTAATGTCGTCTAAAATGAGATATTTGTTGCTTTGTTTGACAATTTTTGGTGTCTTGGTCTTTATATTTTCCTAATTCTATACTATATATTTGTTATTCAAATTTAAAAATTTTACATGAAAATTTTGAACTTTAGACGGTGAATATTGAAGTTAATTAGTAGTATCAAGATAAACATATGGATGGAAGTTATTTTGTTGTACACATTATTGTTATGGCCATGACATTGGGGCGATAACTTTTTTCATTGGAAAAAGATTATACTCATAAATGCTACATTTGAATTGTTTATAGGTTTGCATGAACATCTTTTTCTTACTTAGAAATTGGTTGATCCATTGTCGTGTAGGTTGGTTGCATAACAAGACTAGTGCCTCAAAAGGGTGTGCATCTTATTAGGCATGCCATATATCGGACACTTGAACTGGGTGGACAGTTTGTACTTCTTGGGGCAAGCCCAGTGGCACATATTCAGGTAATGCCTTTCCATTCTTTCTAGTATCGATACTTCGTAATAGTTTGTAGCATTTGATAAATGAAGATAACTGGTTCTGATAAAACTGTGACACACAATAGATGCTCCAAGAGATTGTGTCATAAGCATAGCTTGGTGTAATTTGTGTACTTTATCAGTGACAAATCAGTTTGAGTTGTTTATATATTGTACCAACAATGATGATGGGGTAACACAGTGGTGTTCAAAAAAAGTAGCGGCACCCCAACAAATAAAAGAAAACCGCAGGTGAGTTTTATGCTTGGTGGAAAATATTGCTATTCCCTGAAATAATAAACATATTCACATAAATATGTTATACATGTGTATGAAGTGAGTCGATGAAGCCTATAGACATTAGGATTTGGGAAGTACATGCACATCTTGGATTCTGAGCATGTGGTTCTATCCATTCAGTAAGTTAAACAACAAAAACCTGTGAATGTTTTTGGGACTTATAGCCTGCTGTACTTGTCATGCATATTTCTGTCTGTTAAGATGTGAAACTCAATTTCACATTCATTGAATTTTATTCTGATGTTTCTGCCTTTTGATACCCATTTTACTGTTTAGTGTAATGGTAAATCAATCAGATGGTTCAATTTTATTTTTTTTTAATGTTTAATATTCTTTTCTGTCAACTGCTTATGGCTGATGTTCTTTTTGTAGAAGGAATTTGAGGATATAGCCAGCCATTTTCAAAGTAACAAACACATTCGGTTAATACTGAAGTATGACGAGCCTCTTTCCCACTCCGTTTACGCAGCAACTGACATATTTATCATCCCATCTATTTTTGAACCTTGCGGCCTCACACAGGTACAGCTTGCACAACTGCCCAAGCTATGAGTCTTGTACAGAGAGACATTGTCCAAAGTAGCAGATAGTAAGATTTTTTTACATTTTCATTTTTTTTATTTTGTTGCAGATGATAGCAATGAGATATGGATCAATCCCCGTAGCCAGAAAAACAGGGGGTCTGAATGACAGGTTTGCTAGTCACTGCTCCCATTTTCATATAAATCCCCCTTTGATTGGAGGTTATTTATTGCTTGGTGAAATCCCACTAAGCTTTTGAATTCTCTTGCAGTGTTTTTGATATTGATAATGATACCATACCGCTGCAGTTTAGAAATGGATTTACCTTTTTGAACGCTGATGAACAGGTATGTTTCTGGTACATATGATCTGCTGGAAACTACCTCGGATAGTTTTTTTTTTCGATTCTTCAGCATCCACTTTAGGTTTTGGCTGTGAGTTTGCTAGGTTGGTATGGGTTTGAACTGGGTCAGGCTGACAATGGAACATTAGAAATGTGTATTTTATGAGAGATCCCCAACAGTAGAATTATCACACAAGTTTTCTTAGACTTTTTTCTTAAATCATAGCAAACAAAAATCTGTAACTCAGTCATTATTTAAATGTCGGTGAATTTCAGGGACTCAACGATGCTTTGGATCGTGCAATTAACCACTATAAGAATGATAGTGATGGTTGGCGACAGCTTGTCCAAAAGGTCATGAGTATGGACTTCAGTTGGGACTCTTCATCCTTACAATATGAAGAACTTTACGAGAAGTCTGTGGCCAGAGCAAGAGCAGCAACTCGTGCTTGAGCTCATTCCGGTACTACCTCTGCAGTAGTCGAAGAGAGCTGACCAGAATGGCTTTCAGCTTACCCAACACTGAATCGCTTGGTACATAAATGTAACTTAGAATTGTGAGATTTTCAAGTACATAATGCATCAACAGATGATTCTGAAAAGCTTCGAAACGTCGTTTATTTTTTCATTTTACACATGCTCACACAATTCATTTGTCTGTATAAGCAGCCTATGATTTGCAGCTGATATAGATCATATTGGTATATAATTCGAAGTGATTTTAATGTAACTTCGAACAGGCAATACATGAATTATTATAGGTTTTCAACTTGTACCATGAATCAGTTATGGCAGTATGTCAAAATGTATTATGTTTGTCGGAGAATTCTCTTCTGTTATCTCTACGGTATCATATTTCCACCGAAACAATCAGAATATTTCGATTTTCCTGAAAATCAAAATGGATATCCAAAATCTCATGTTTTAAGGTATTTTGAGATGTTTCGAAGATTTTCAAGATATTTTGAGATGTTTTAATTAATGTTTTGAAAACAAATTTGCATATATATTTTTCTTCTATTTGTATTCTTTTTTCAAAACGTTTTCAAAATATTTCATTTTTGAGCTAACAAAATTTTGATCTTTGCATTCCCTCATGGTGTATGTGAAGGAAATCAATCTTGGAATGGAAGGTTTGCGGGTAAAACAGGAGGAATTACCATTAATATAATTAAAAGTTGATACTTAAAAACTTTTTTTTTGAGAGAGAGAGATGGTTAGGATCGATAATTATATGTATATTTGTAAAAAAAAAAAGGAAGAGGAGATGAAAATTTTAAAGATAATGGATGGTTGAGATTATGGGTGATAATTTTTGATACAACACGAAAAATACGATTCGAACTCAACACAAAATTAGTGAGTTAGAGTTAATCATTTTATAACATGAATCCGTAAATAAAACAACTCGTTAACACGAATAATAAATAGATTTGATTAGTGTCAAACACAAATAATATGAATTGACATGATTAATACGTTTAATTAATATTATAGAAATAAAATACTAACTATTTGGTATTATTATTAAGCATTGNTCCCATTTTCATATAAATCCCCCTTTGATTGGAGGTTATTTATTGCTTGGTGAAATCCCACTAAGCTTTTGAATTCTCTTGCAGTGTTTTTGATATTGATAATGATACCATACCGCTGCAGTTTAGAAATGGATTTACCTTTTTGAACGCTGATGAACAGGTATGTTTCTGGTACATATGATCTGCTGGAAACTACCTCGGATAGTTTTTTTTTNTTTTTTATTCGAGGTTTAAATGGGTCAACACGAACATGAACTTGATACAAAAATAAATAGGTCAATTGGCACGATACGATTAATTAAATATATTGAGTTAAGATTGACTAATACTCAACACGAAGCCGCAATAATCTGACACGATACGATTATCACCCCTAATTGAGATAGGGGGAGACACCAAGTAGGTACAGTGTATCTTTCTCCAAACTAATTTGCCTCTTTTGGGAGAAAAAAAAAAAAANAGGTTGGTATGGGTTTGAACTGGGTCAGGCTGACAATGGAACATTAGAAATGTGTATTTTATGAGAGATCCCCAACAGTAGAATTATCACACAAGTTTTCTTAGACTTTTTTCTTAAATCATAGCAAACAAAAATCTGTAACTCAGTCATTATTTAAATGTCGGTGAATTTCAGGGACTCAACGATGCTTTGGATCGTGCAATTAACCACTATAAGAATGATAGTGATGGTTGGCGACAGCTTGTCCAAAAGGTCATGAGTATGGACTTCAGTTGGGACTCTTCATCCTTACAATATGAAGAACTTTACGAGAAGTCTGTGGCCAGAGCAAGAGCAGCAACTCGTGCTTGAGCTCATTCCGGTACTACCTCTGCAGTAGTCGAAGAGAGCTGACCAGAATGGCTTTCAGCTTACCCAACACTGAATCGCTTGGTACATAAATGTAACTTAGAATTGTGAGATTTTCAAGTACATAATGCATCAACAGATGATTCTGAAAAGCTTCGAAACGTCGTTTATTTTTTCATTTTACACATGCTCACACAATTCATTTGTCTGTATAAGCAGCCTATGATTTGCAGCTGATATAGATCATATTGGTATATAATTCGAAGTGATTTTAATGTAACTTCGAACAGGCAATACATGAATTATTATAGGTTTTCAACTTGTACCATGAATCAGTTATGGCAGTATGTCAAAATGTATTATGTTTGTCGGAGAATTCTCTTCTGTTATCTCTACGGTATCATATTTCCACCGAAACAATCAGAATATTTCGATTTTCCTGAAAATCAAAATGGATATCCAAAATCTCATGTTTTAAGGTATTTTGAGATGTTTCGAAGATTTTCAAGATATTTTGAGATGTTTTAATTAATGTTTTGAAAACAAATTTGCATATATATTTTTCTTCTATTTGTATTCTTTTTTCAAAACGTTTTCAAAATATTTCATTTTTGAGCTAACAAAATTTTGATCTTTGCATTCCCTCATGGTGTATGTGAAGGAAATCAATCTTGGAATGGAAGGTTTGCGGGTAAAACAGGAGGAATTACCATTAATATAATTAAAAGTTGATACTTAAAAACTTTTTTTTTGAGAGAGAGAGATGGTTAGGATCGATAATTATATGTATATTTGTAAAAAAAAAAAGGAAGAGGAGATGAAAATTTTAAAGATAATGGATGGTTGAGATTATGGGTGATAATTTTTGATACAACACGAAAAATACGATTCGAACTCAACACAAAATTAGTGAGTTAGAGTTAATCATTTTATAACATGAATCCGTAAATAAAACAACTCGTTAACACGAATAATAAATAGATTTGATTAGTGTCAAACACAAATAATATGAATTGACATGATTAATACGTTTAATTAATATTATAGAAATAAAATACTAACTATTTGGTATTATTATTAAGCATTGACATAATTATTATACAATTATTATTATTATTATTATTATTATTATTATTATTATGTTTATTAAGTTAATTTTTAATATATAGAAAAATATGAGCATGAATTCAATTAATTGATAATAAACTATTAACCTTAAATTTTAGCGTTAAGTTCTTTATTCGAGGTTTAAATGGGTTAACACAAACATGAACTTGATACAAAAATAAATAGGTCAATTAACACGATACGATTAATTAAATATATTGAGTTAAGATTGACTAATACTCAACACGAAGCCGCAATAATCCGACACGATACGATTATTACCCCTAATTGAGATAGGGGGAGACACCAAGTAGGTACAGTGTATCTTTCTCCAAAATAATTTGCCTCTTTTGGGAGAAAAAAAAACAGATGGACAATACTTAGAGATCAAATTCAAGAGTCGTGATTATCTGAGTCAATTTGTGTGGTTAAGGCTTAGTTGAGCTTGTCATGAATTGTTTAAACGTTCTTGGTCATTGCAGGGACCAATTTGGCAAGAAGAAACAAAAGTAAAAAAAAAAAAAAAAAAATTCACCAATGGCACACAAAATTCAAATTATATTTCCCCATTCGTTCACAATAAATTTACATGAGCACCAAGCAAAGCAATCTCTCTCATTACATTCACTTTCCGGGTACAAAGTTTGTAGCATAAGCCCAAGCATTGTTGTTAACAGGGTCAGCAAGGTGGTCAGCCAAGTTCTCCAATGGGCCCTTTCCAGTCACAATGGCCTGGACAAAGAACCCAAACATAGAGAACATGGCAAGTCTACCATTCTTGATCTCCTTCACCTTTAGCTCAGCAAATGCCTCCGGGTCTTCGGCAAGGCCCAACGGGTCGAAGCTGCCACCGGGGTAGAGTGGGTCGGTGACCTCGCCGAGTGGCCCTCCAGCAATACGGTAGCCCTCAACAGCACCCATCAAGATAACCTGACAGGCCCAAATAGCCAAAATGCTTTGAGCATGGATCAAGCTTGGGTTACCCAAGTAGTCAAGTCCACCCTCGCTGAAGATTTGGGCTCCGGCCTTGAACCACACGGCCTCTCCAAACTTCACGCCATTTCGGGCCAAGAGCTCGGGGAAAACACACCCGAGAGCTCCGAGCATGGCCCATCTGCAGTGGATCACCTCAAGCTCACGGTTCTTGGCAAAGGTTTCTGGGTCAGCCGAAAGCCCAGCAGTGTCCCACCCATAGTCACCGGGAAATTCACCGGTCAGGTAGCTTGGGGGCTCACCGGAGAATGGGCCCAAGTATTTGACACGGTCCGGGCCGTACCACGGGCTGCCGGATGAGATGGACTTGGAGATACTTTTCCTCATGGAGACTCTTCCATTACCCTGAATCTCTGAGGCAGATGGAGAGAGTTTCACTGCCTTCCCTGCAAAAGATGGGGAAGAGAGAGCCATTGTTGAAGCAGCCATGGATGAGCTCTATTGAAAGATGTTAAGGTACTGTGTTAAAGAAGGAAGTGAGTGGTGAAAGTAGCATTGTAGTTGGTATTAATTTATAGGGGTTTAAAAGCTATTATCTCTCCTTATCTTATGATATCTATATCTCTGTTTTCATTGGTTTTGAAGATGCTGTTCTTGTCTTTCTCTCTCCACATGGCACTTTCTAGTCCACCAAGTCCTTAGATTTTTGCTTGGAACTTTCACAGCCACCAAGTTCTAAGATTTTTATTTCACAATTTTCTCATCCACCAAGTGGAAGATTTTTTAGAGGGTTCAACCAATGTGGTTGTCCCAAATGAGATTCTTGGATTAGATTCATCCTAACAGATAGATTTTTCAGCCAAGCCATGGAATCATTTTCATACTCCTTGGACTTTCATGCTTACAAACCGTTGCTATTAAGGATGTCAAAAATATGATACGGATTATTAATATGATACAAAATTAAAAGATTTTAGTCTTCTTTAAATCACTCATTTTTGTAAATAAATGAACCCAAAATGATATAATTAATAAACGAATTGAGTATAATAAAATCAATCAAAAGAAATATAATGACACGACTTGTTTAGATGTCACTTATATATGAAAAGTATTACAATGTGACTCTTCCGTTAGTTTCTCTATTACTCATTCCGTCAACGTCAATTAAGTGGGTCTTAATGGAGTTAGTAACAGAAGATAATAGAAAGGTTACATTACAACACTTTTAATATATTGAGAATACAATGTGAGAAATCTCGTATTTGAGGGTAAAAAATGAAAAGCTTAAATCCTTCGGGGTGTAAAGTGAGATTCCCCCTCAACTTTTTGTTTTTTTTTTTTGCCAATATTTTTGTAAAACAACACTTTAAAAGCAAAAAAAAAAATAAAACCTTGAACATAATGAACTATAACTTGATCCTTCTTTAATAACAAAGGTTTTTTTTTTCCCAGAAAGTAAGTAATAACTGGAAAAAGTCACTTTTTTTGTACAATGGAAATTAAAAAGCAGAGTAAATGAGGTGCTCTCTCAAAGAATACATTGGCTATATTGCAGCCCAGGGATGTTTTCTAAGTTTCTCTAATGGGAATCAAGTTTCACATTATGCGCTTATCTTTTTCTCTCGTGAAAAATTGTCTTAATTGCGTACCCTTTAAATTTTGATTACAACTTAAACTTGAATGCACATAATTATCTATAAATCATGCCGCAATTTCCAATGGATTTTATGTGGTTAGGATCACTCGAACTCAATATGTACTAGTGTATGCATTCCTTGTTCGATTACTAAACCTACCATAAGACTTCTCTCATATTGACCAAACAATACACAATAATCTCTCTCTCTCTCTCTCTCTCTCTCTCTCTCTCTCTCTCTCTTTTCACTTTGATGTTGCAACTTCTGATCATGCACTTGGTACTCCACCAAAGCTATGTTGGAGTTGGTGTATTTTACATCTATGGATATGATGCTTAAATGCTACTAATTTGACTAATTTTTTCATGGAGTCATGTAATCCATTAAACTCTTATAATCGCAATTTAACAAGCTCAAATGAGGCCTTAAGGTTGTAAGTTTAAATATCGTTATTTTTCCTTATAATAGTACTTGACTTAAAAAATAACAAAAAGAAGCTTAGATCCCCTAGGTGACCACCTTAGTGGCTTTGCCCTAGGGCCGGTTTTGGCCGTTGGCCTAATGGTCATCGTCTCGATCTTAAAATCACGAGTTCCAACTTTGTCATCCTCTCCTTGACCCAAAAAAAAATGATTACACTCTTAATCATATTAAAAAAAGAAAAGATAACAATGTGATCCAAAATCAAATTTATGTCGCTTTGACCACAATTTTTTGATGTATTTTTATATTTTTCCATTTCTGTGCATAATCATTTGTATATTACTCAAATTAAAATTTTTTTACCTGAACATTTTGTATTCAATTTTATGATTTTGGACCACATTATTATCTTTTTTTAAGGTTAACGGTGCAATGCGAAAATTTTAATCTTTCAATTTGTAAAGGGATTTTTCACACTGTACATCTTGAAAAATATCTCAATTCTCACTTTATACTCTGAAAGATTATTTTTCACATATTGCACCTTGAATATCATAAATTAGTTTTAATGTGGCCCTCAGATTAACATATATTTCAAATTCTGTTAAAAATTGATGCACTTTTCATCTACATGTGTTATTCTTGGACAAAAAGGTAAACTCGTCATTCATATATTTGAGAGGCATATGCATTAATTTTTAACGAAATCTAAAAAAAATGTTTGTTCAAGGGTTACATTAGAATCAATTTATAACATTCAGAATGCGATGCAGAAAAACTAATATTTTAGGATACAAAGTGGGAATTGAGATTTTTTGAGGTACACAAAGTGACATTTTAAAGATGTTGCAGTGTGTAATGTGTTATTCACCCTTATTACATGTTACGTTATTTTTAAGTTGGACCTCATGAAACCAGCAAATCAGCCAAGCAACAATACACTGTATAATTGACCACAGATGATACTTCTCATGCCAGCCCCGACGAGTCTGTCCGGTAGATGTAAAAATAAGGCTGCAATGAGTCATTTTATGTCGGCGGGTCGGGTCATGTTTAAATCATATGGTTAGTATTAGCAAGGGTTAAATTTTTTTTTTTTTCGAAACAATTAAAATAATCGAAACGTTTTCGTTTTTAAAGAAATCGAAATGAGACAGTGATGAAATTAAAATTCTAATATTTCGCGGTATTTCGAGAAGTTTCCGTATACATTTATTATTGTTTTAGAATGTTTATGGATATTTCGATATATTTTTGACTAATATTTTTAAAAAAACATTCTCAATTTTTTTATTTGTTTTTGAAATGTTTTCGATATATTTCTATTTATTAAGTTATCAAAACAATATACTAAAATAAAATCTTGATCCTTGGGCATCAAGATCTGTTTAACATATACTTAGCTGATTTATAGTTGTAAATAGGTATATTTATCGGATTTATCTCGTGTACATTGAATTGTATTAACCCATTTATCAAAACACATCTACCAATCTAAGATATGACCCAACCTTACTAAGATTAAACTATGTCCAATAATTATTGTGCGGGATATTTTCTTGTCAATTTTATATCTTATTAACGAATCGTGCTAAAAATTACCAACCGTACGTAACACCAAGAATATGTGATATCTCTGTCCTCAAAGGCAAGTTATTTCATTAAGCGGCCTCAAATTAGAAGCACTCCTTATATATCATACAAAAACACCATTCCACCGTACGACCATTAAGCTGAATGTACATTTACTAGGTTCGAGGTTAATTTATAGTAATTCTAATGAATAGTTTAAATGGTAACAAAAATAAATTATAAATTCAGATGTTTTAAATTCGAATATTGATAATTTTTTATGGCCAATTTATGAATATCTTAATTTTGGCATGAATGGTTTGTCTTTGACCAGAAGGGAATAACCGAAATGTGTGTAAACTGATTCAGACATTCCTATTCGTTATAAAAAAAAAAAAGAGAGGTTAATTCACAGTCATGGAGAGAGATTCTCCACCACCCATGTAAGTGGTCGAACTCCATGGCCACATATTTCTTTGAAAAGATTAAAGATGACTGCCATTAATTATCATGCAAATTCTCAATGGATAGAGAGCACTATCCGAATGCACACGTGGCATTCCCTGATTGGCCGAACAGAAAATCTGATTACATTTCATGGGATTTTTTGATACATCATGCACCCTAGAAATCTAAAGGGTACTTGGTGGTATAGACATTGCCAAATAGAATTGCAATATGAAGCTCTAAAAATGTCCCCAACCAATCAAAATTCAGAAAATGATCTCCAAAGATAAGGACCTTTTAGCAATCCAACTCATATTTATACTCAAGTTTGCAGCTCATGAAACTCAAGCCACCAGCACCTTTCTCTAAGTCTTCACTGTACTATTGTTCCTTTCAATAGCTTTCATTACTAGTGCGCAATGGCTGCCTCAGCAATGGCTCTCTCTTCCCCGTCTCTGGCCGGAAAGGCGGTGAAACTTTCGCCATCTGCCCCGGAGCTCCAAGGAAATGGAAGGGTAGCGATGAGGAAAACCGGGGTCAAGCCCTCTGGCAGCCCATGGTATGGCCCAGACCGTGTCAAGTACTTGGGTCCACTCTCTGGTGAGCCTCCAAGCTATCTCACTGGTGAATTCCCTGGTGATTATGGGTGGGACACTGCTGGACTTTCAGCTGATCCGGAAACCTTTGCCAAGAACCGTGAGCTTGAGGTGATCCACTGTAGATGGGCCATGCTTGGAGCTCTTGGATGTGTTTTCCCCGAGCTCTTGGCACGCAATGGCGTTAAGTTCGGTGAGGCCGTGTGGTTCAAGGCAGGAGCCCAAATCTTCAGTGAGGGTGGACTTGACTATTTGGGCAACCCAAGTTTGATCCATGCTCAGAGCATCTTGGCTATTTGGGCTTGCCAAGTTATCTTGATGGGCGCTGTTGAGGGATACCGTATTGCTGGTGGGCCACTCGGCGAGGTGACCGACCCGCTTTACCCGGGTGGAAGCTTCGACCCATTGGGCCTTGCTGAAGATCCTGAGGCATTTGCTGAGCTGAAGGTGAAGGAGATTAAGAATGGTAGACTTGCCATGTTCTCCATGTTTGGATTCTTTGTCCAGGCCATTGTGACTGGAAAGGGTCCATTGGAGAATCTTGCTGACCACCTTGCTGACCCTGTCAACAACAATGCTTGGGCTTATGCCACAAACTTTGTCCCAGGAAAGTGAGTGTGAGTAAAAGTAAGAGTAAGAGTAAGGGGTTGTGACTCCCATGTAAATGTTTAATTCATTGTCATTTGTGTGTGCATTTAAGAGTGGTGTGTCCTTCCTTTTCTCCCCTCTTCGGGAGGACTCAACTCGTTGAGCTTTGGTGACGTCCTCGACATTCATGTACTTATGTGTCATTTAATTTATAACTTGTGTATTTCAAATAATGATATGTTTGGTCATTTTCATAAATACTCTATTTATTACCTTATATCTATATCTGATCATAAAATTTTTTTGTTACTTATTCAACTTTATGCAAATGTTTTACTTTACACAATATTATGCAAATGCCATGCAAAATATCCATATACTGAGTTCCTAGACATTGTATTTCTCTCTTTTAAACTCCCTATCATTCTTTCTGTAAACTATTCTTAATTATTTTAAACTGTGATCGAAAATTACTTTATATCAAATTTCTTCTTATCAAAAACTTCTCTAATTTTCCCAATTAGGCCATCTTCTTATATTAAGAAGGAGAAAAGAAAAACACCAAATTGATTGTTGATAACAAAACTTCTTTTTCAAGTTGTGTCCTCTCTTCTCCACCCAAATTGATTTTGGGAAAGTTGCTAAAAGTACACTCCAAGACTTTTTCCCATTATTAGTCCAAACTGTGTCTTTATAAGGTCTAAAGGACATTTTAAAATACTAGTTAATGCGCACGTACGTTGCACGTGAATTATTTTGAATTATAATTTCGATTTTATTTTGTTATTTCACTTTTTATTAAACGATTAAAGAATTTGAAATGCAATTGATGATGTAAAAAATAGACTTATGCAAGATCAATAGTCGAGTGGATAATGTAAGAGAATTAATGAGACAATTAATAAAACAATCAATGACAAAAAAGTAAATATTGGGTCAACACACAATTAAATAGTGACTCACTCAAGGTGACCTATTCCACTTCGAAAAACAACAACGGTAGCCGAAAAACTTTTATTAATAAAGTAAAGTGAGAAAGAGAGAGAACAAATGTTAGCTCCAAGAGAGATACAATAACTAGGAGGGAGAAAAACTATGTGAGGGGTGTACAGAAAAATGTAGAGATACTACTCTCAATGAAGAGAACTAACAATTTATAGGCACAAAACCTTAGTTGAGGCGGTAACTTGAGGGGGAAGACACTAATTCTTCGTGAAGAATAACTACAAAAGGTAAGTATAATTAAATGGTATCTTGATCTTTAAGAGTGGGTGTCCCGATGCTTCCCACGTGCTTTAAGCTTGGATTCCTTGGACTTTGGATTTGATTGAATTCTCGAACTGGATTTGACTTGTCTTTTAGCTGGTTTGAACTTGCTTGATTTATTAAGCCTAACCCAATTGAATCTGGGCACGTTAGCAACCACCAAAAATCAAATCAAAATCAAATCTGTAAAAAGCCAAGAATGTAAATTCATGATAAAGTGACAATTTTACTCTATCCAATTGAGTTCTGTGAAAAGGCCAACATATCCAATACTTCAATATTAGAGTTTATTAAACCCAGCTTCCTGCTAGCCTTTCTAAAAGATATCACAAGCTCAATTTTCACTCACCAAACGCAAAAGCACTTGCTCAGTTGATTGGTCACCATCTCCTTTTTGGTATTTTTATTTTATTGACATTATGCACTGCAATTTGTTCTTTAGATTCTGGAAAAGGGCCTCATTTTTATCCAAAATCATTACCCAACAATGTTGAGAAAAAAGTTTCCAAGATCTAACAAACATGACAATTAATACAAAAAGCAAAAAACTTTCTTTTACATGGACCATGATAAATGGATATGGCATACCTTCCAATTGAATAAATATGCAATTGATGACCAAACAACCACACAATAAATTTTTCAAACTAATAAACACCAAAAAAATAGCAAAAATCTGAAAATAAATTTTGACTTTTTATCTTCATACATATTAAACAAACACATAGAAGCGCAACTAACATATTGCTTAACATTAAAACAGTATTGAGACAATCATGGAAAACACTCGTACAAAATTAAGTAGGCAATTCAATAATTGAATACCCGATGCTAAAAAGAAATACACACTCGTGTCCTGTGACTTTAATGACAATGGAGTCCCATCAACCAAAAAAAAAAATGCCTTAAGTTGGAAGATTTCAACACAATCTCATTATTCTTCGAGTAATTACCAATTGTACGACCTCTACTTTGCTTCCAGTACCCACCACAGCTCCGTTATGATGAAAGTGAAATTTAGACCCTTAAGTGGGGCTCGAGTGAGTCAATGATGAAATTTATCCATTCATCTCTTTCATTAAGCATTGAATGATTTGAAAATAGTGGCGTAACATGACCATCAAAGCCTATTCCAAGAAGGATGAGATCAAATTTGGGACTATCAATGCTCTCTGAGGCACTAATTATGCAAAGCGGACCAAGGTTTTCATCTGTTAGCCAAGTGTACCTATTATAGCACCTCTATTACACAGAAACGAAACCAATGTGGCCTTTTGACCAGCTGAAGAGCAAGGAGGATGTTTAAAGAAGAAAATGAACAGAGATGGATAATAATGGACTGTTGGGACTTCCCTCAAGTCACAAAAGAGTTTGGTTTTAGAGTTGTTTCTTTGCCACTTTTATATTGTCGAGGAAGACGAAGTAAATAGAAGAATGTTTACAAAAGGAAATGAATAGACGCAGGTAATAATGTGCTGTGAAGATGATTGGATATATTATTAATGCTGTTAATTATAATTATTACTCAAGAAAAGACAGTATTGACATTAGTTGTCCTATTAAGACTATAATAATCAACCAAATTTTTTTTATGAATGCAAATTAGTATGTAAATAAAACTGCTATTAATATATTAAATCCAACAAAGCAAAGGAATGAGAAAGGTTAGTATATACTATATAGAGAAGACCATTGGGTTGACAATTAATATAGTTTATGTATGTAATTAAATCAATATTTGAAGAAGAGCAAAAGACATAAAATATTTTATGAACTTCATAAAAATAATTAGGATTTAATAATGTTATTAAATACAAAAAGATATGATAAGCCGACATTTATAAATAATATAGATATAAATAAATATTGGTTCTTTGGTCCAAACTAATCAAATCCACTTTTTTTTTTTGTTTAATTACTAAGAAGACCCTTTAATGTATCACGCCTACGCTTAAATTCACTTTCACTACCTAATTTCAGTTGCCTTAATTACTACAAGTTCATGATAACGTTCATGTCATTTAACTAGAGAAACAAGAGAAGAACGAGTCAATTAAATAAGCAATTTTTTTGCTTTGGATGACACTCCCTGTTAAATGCAGTTAGCTTTGGCAAAATGATCTTGAGACTCGCAGATCAAGAGGCCTTGGGTTTGTGACTTTCAAGGATGAGCATTCTATGAGGAACACAATCGAGGGCATGAACGACTATAAAGAGTAGGAATTTAATAGCCTTAACATCACTGTTAAAGAGGCACGATCGTGTGGAAGTGGTGGCGATGGTGATGACTACGGTGGTGGTTTTCATAGAGGAGGCTGTCGTGATAGTGGTGGCTATGGTGATGGAGGTGAATAGAGAGATGGGAAAATTAGGGGAAAAAATGAAGGATTGACGGTGAACTAATCATTAAATGTCTATTTTAGGGGTATTTTTTATTTGTCTGATTTTAGTCTTTTAGAACCAAAAAATCTCACCTTGGACTTATTGACTCTAAAGTTACAACGGATTGACTTGTGATTAGAGCTGTTAATTAAACCGAGTTATTTGAATTCAACTTGGATTTAACTCGTTTTTTGGTTCGTTCAAGTTCGACTTGTTTTCTAAATGAACTAAATTTATAATTCTTTTTCGACTTGTTTGAAAAATGAGCCAGACAGACTCGACTCGAACTAAATATGTTCGACTCATTTATATCTAAATATTCGGGTTTGACTCTTTTTAAGTTTGTTTAGACTCGATTTATTTTTTAAATTCAATTAAGAAAACAAGTTTTTTAGACTCGGCTTAAACTTGTTCCACTATATCAGCCCAATCCTCCCTTTTCCTTATAATTTTTCTACTCTACTTTTCGATTTTATATTATTATGAAAGGAGATATATAATTGAAAAAGCAAAAAAAAAAAANATTGAATCTGGGCACGTTAGCAACCACCAAAAATCAAATCAAAATCAAATCTGTAAAAAGCCAAGAATGTAAATTCATGATAAAGTGACAATTTTACTCTATCCAATTGAGTTCTGTGAAAAGGCCAACATATCCAATACTTCAATATTAGAGTTTATTAAACCCAGCTTCCTGCTAGCCTTTCTAAAAGATATCACAAGCTCAATTTTCACTCACCAAACGCAAAAGCACTTGCTCAGTTGATTGGTCACCATCTCCTTTTTGGTATTTTTATTTTATTGACATTATGCACTGCAATTTGTTCTTTAGATTCTGGAAAAGGGCCTCATTTTTATCCAAAATCATTACCCAACAATGTTGAGAAAAAAGTTTCCAAGATCTAACAAACATGACAATTAATACAAAAAGCAAAAAACTTTCTTTTACATGGACCATGATAAATGGATATGGCATACCTTCCAATTGAATAAATATGCAATTGATGACCAAACAACCACACAATAAATTTTTCAAACTAATAAACACCAAAAAAATAGCAAAAATCTGAAAATAAATTTTGACTTTTTATCTTCATACATGTCATGACTTGTTAAACAAACACATAGAAGCGCAACTAACATATTGCTTAACATTAAAACAGTATTGAGACAATCATGGAAAACACTCATACAAAAATAAGTAGGCAATTCAATAGTTGAATACCTGATGCTAAAAAGAAATACACACTCGTGTCCTATGACTTCAATGACAATGGAGTCCCATCAACCAAAAAAAAAATGCCTCAAGTTGGAAGATTTCAACACAATATCATTATATTCTTCGAGTAATTACCAATTGTACGGCCTCTACTTTGCTTCCAGTACCCACCACAGCTCCGTTATGATGAAAGTGAAATTTAGACCCTTAAGTGGGGCTCGAGTGAGTCAATGATGAAATTTATCCATTCATCTCTTTCATTAAGCATTGAATGATTTGAAAATAGTGGCGTAACATGACCATCAAAGCCTATTCCAAGAAGGATGAGATCAAATTTGGGACTATCAATGCTCTCTGAGGCACTAATTATGCAAAGCGGACCAAGGTTTTCATCTGTTAGCCAAGTGTACCTATTATAGCACCTCCATTACACAGAAACGAAACCAATGTGGCCTTTTGACCAGCTGAAGAGTAAGGAGGATGTTTAAAGAAGAAAATGAACAGAGATGGATAATAATGGACTGTTGGGACTTCCCTCAAGTCACAAAAGAGTTTGGTTTTAGAGTTGTTTCTTTGCCACTTTTATATTGTCGAGGAAGATGAAGTAAATAGAAGAATGTATACAAAAGGAAATGAATAGACGCAGGTAATAATGTGTTGTGAAGATGATTGAAAATATTATTAATGCTGTTAATTATAATTATTACTCAAGAAAAGACAGTATTGACATTAGTTGTCCTATTAAGACTATAATAATCAATCAATTTTTTTTTATGAATGCAAATTAGTATGTAAATAAAATTGCTATTAATATATTAAATCCAACAAAGCAAAGGAATGAGAAAGGTTAGTATATACTATATAGAGAAGACCATTGGGTTGACAATTAATATAGTTTATGTATGTAATTAAATCAATATTTGAAGAAGAGCAAAAGACATAAAATATTTTATGAACTTCATAAAAATAATTAGGATTTAATAATGTTATTAAATACAAAAAGATATGATAAGCCGACATTTATAAATAATATAGATATAAATAAATATTGGTTCTTTGGTCCAAACTAATCAAATCCACTTTTTTTTTTTGTTTAATTACTAAGAAGACCCTTTAATGTATCACGCCTACGCTTAAATTCACTTTCACTACCTAATTTCAGTTGCCTTAATTACTACAAGTTCATGATAACGTTCATGTCATTTAACTAGAGAAACAAGAGAAGAACGAGTCAATTAAATAAGCAATTTTTTTGCTTTGGATGACACTCCCTGTTAAATGCAGTTAGCTTTGGCAAAATGATCTTGAGACTCGCAGATCAAGAGGCCTTGGGTTTGTGACTTTCAAGGATGAGCATTCTATGAGGAACACAATCGAGGGCATGAACGACTATAAAGAGTAGGAATTTAATAGCCTTAACATCACTGTTAAAGAGGCACGATCGTGTGGAAGTGGTGGCGATGGTGATGACTACGGTGGTGGTTTTCATAGAGGAGGCTGTCGTGATAGTGGTGGCTATGGTGATGGAGGTGAATAGAGAGATGGGAAAATTAGGGGAAAAAATGAAGGATTGACGGTGAACTAATCATTAAATGTCTATTTTAGGGGTATTTTTTATTTGTCTGATTTTAGTCTTTTAGAACCAAAAAATCTCACCTTGGACTTATTGACTCTAAAGTTACAACGGATTGACTTGTGATTAGAGCTGTTAATTAAACCGAGTTATTTGAATTCAACTTGGATTTAACTCGTTTTTTGGTTCGTNCGGATTGACTTGTGATTAGAGCTGTTAATTAAACCGAGTTATTTGAATTCAACTTGGATTTAACTCGTTTTTTGGTTCGTTCAAGTTCGACTTGTTTTCTAAATGAACTAAATTTATAATTCTTTTTCGACTTGTTTGAAAAATGAGCCAGACAGACTCGACTCGAACTAAATATGTTCGACTCATTTATATCTAAATATTCGGGTTTGACTCTTTTTAAGTTTGTTTAGACTCGATTTATTTTTTAAATTCAATTAAGAAAACAAGTTTTTTAGACTCGGCTTAAACTTGTTCCACTATATCAGCCCAATCCTCCCTTTTCCTTATAATTTTTCTACTCTACTTTTCGATTTTATATTATTATGAAAGGAGATATATAATTGAAAAAGCAAAAAAAAAAAAACCAATTGTGGCCCATTTAAGACCCATTGGGACTAGACTCGGGATCTCGGGGGTAGCCCCTAAAAGACCANAAAAAAAAAAAACCAATTGTGGCCCATTTAAGACCCATTGGGACTAGACTCGGGATCTCGGGGGTAGCCCCTAAAAGACCAAAATGACCATCCCAGTCGAGAGCCATTTTTAGTTGGCCCAGCCCGCAGATTGACCTTGCCCATTACCTAGCAAGGAGAGGGGGATACAACCAACCAATTAGACTACTAAATTAGTTTTTTTTTTTGAAAGAGACTACTAAATTAGTTGGAAAATGGTTGCTAAGCATGTGTGCTTTAATGAGGGAAACTTGGCGCCAAATTTGTTTCTATTATACCAATGTAGGGTTTTTTTTTTTTTTTAATTTTTTGGGGAAAGTTCTTTTGTTTTGGTGGATAAAAGGGTAGGATTGCTTAAAAATACCTTGGGATCCACAAATTTTTCACATAATTTTTTCTTTATGAATATTGTTATTCCAAAAACAATTTCCAAATCAAATTTATCCATCCAAACATGACTTAGACTCGGATTACTTTTCATTATAAAAGAGTGTAATAGTCATTTCAATTGTATATATACATGGGACCCACACTTGGCATATTACCTTCCTAAATAGAGGATCCGACGGGATACGAATATATTTAGCATCTTTAGCCGGACTTCATTTTTTTTTATTCTAGTAGGGATTAATTGAACAGTTATCTGATTAAAATAAATTAAGGGGTTAAATTGAAAGTTGATGAAAGTTTAGGGGACCAATATGANTTTTTTTTTTTTTTTTCTCTAATAGGGATTAATTGAACAGTTATCTGATTAAAATAAATTAAGGGGTTAAATTGAAAGTTGATGAAAGTTTAGGGGACCAATATGATTTTAATCCTAATCAAAATACACTGCACCTGTATNTCATTTTTTTTTATTCTAGTAGGGATTAATTGAACAGTTATCTGATTAAAATAAATTAAGGGGTTAAATTGAAAGTTGATGAAAGTTTAGGGGACCAATATGATTTTAATCCTAATCAAAATACACTGCACCTGTATATTAAATCACCACAATCAAAGCCTTACGGCCACCAGATCCTCAAATTAAACCAATCACCCTCTCCTCAAGATGCGACCGCCTTCTGCCCACTCTCACTTCTTCTCCTCTCTCAAACAGGTAGAGAAGAGATTGAAACTTGACAACCCATCACAACCCTATACTCTCTCTTCACCACCACCGCCGCCGCCAGCTTCAGCAGCAGAGAGCAGTCAGACATTAACAGAGTCTCTCAGTTCCCCAATATACCTCAATTTCGACCGACCCACCATCACGGATCACTCAATCATCCAAGACAGTGAAGTTCCTCATGAATTCCTCTCAAATTCTAGTGATTTTCCACCAACCCATGAAGACCCACCTCACTCAACCAACCCNTCAATCATCCAAGACAGTGAAGTTCCTCATGAATTCCTCTCAAATTCTAGTGATTTTCCACCAACCCATGAAGACCCACCTCACTCAACCAACCCAGAAAACCAAGAAGTAATTTATGAAGGCAAAAACAGTGGCGTCGACGACATCCAACTTTTAATGCAGCTATTGGGCTCATCAGATTCTCAAGAGGATGATGAGGAAAAAGATGATTTGGTTCTGAATTGTGGTGGTTGTGATGATGGGTTTTATGGTAAGATTGTTGGGGTGAAAGGGCCAAAATGTGGGAAGGAATTGGAGAGGTTGGAGGGATGGATTAAGCACTTTTTGAATGGCTCCGGTGAGGAAGGAAGGAGAGAGCCCCTGAGATTGGCACATTTGCTTCTGGGTAAAGCTGCTTTTGTTTCAAAGGAAAGTGATGGTATTGGAGAATTTGGATTTCCCTCAACTGTAGATGAGTTCTTGCAGGATGATCCACCAAGAGATTAGGTGATTGCCGTACTTTGGAAGAATATCAACGGAGATTGTCGAGTTTCTTTTCAAAAGGTATTGATCATCTTTGTTCATAACTTACTGTCGTTGTCTGTTTTTTTTTTTTTTTTGAGAGAATTACACCAGAATTCTAAAGCTTATCCCTTAATCACTCAAATTTTCTAATATATAAAACTAGCAATTGTCCGTGCTTAAAGACACTATATAACAAAAAATTATTAAGAAAATTAAAGATTCTTTTCAAAAAATTAAACACCCACAATGCCTAAAGTAAGGAGAACAATCAAACCGTGTTGTGTTATTTCAGTTTCATATTAAAAATATCTCAGCCCTAATGCAAACTATTTAATTAATCATGTCAAAATGACTTAATACAATTACTATTCGCTTGAAACACCAATAGTTAGAGCATGACCCGGGTAACACATTTACTAAATAAATTGTATCTATGTTGACATGACTCGTTATCAACCTAATCAATATGTTTGGTACATGGGTCACGATTGGGTTGTGACGAATCTTATAACACAATCAACTGGATGGAAACGGCATATTTAACATGTCTAAGCAACTTTAACCTATCAAACCTAAATAAATCCTCATTTTTAATACAAATCATTCATTCATCCGCAATTTACATTTATAAAAATTACTAAATTAAAAGTTAAATATATGCTCAAAACCATCCCATCCAACACATGAAAGAAGTGTGACCCAAAAAAAACATATGACAAAAGTTAAAGAAAATCACATTCCATTCTCCCAAGTATCTTAGCACAACAAACCCAAGTAGTTAAACAAAAAGATAATTCCACATAACATAACACCACAAATTAGTTCACAATCTCAACCAATATTGACATCTGAAATTCTAACTAAACTAATATTGGCAGTAATTAAATTTAATATCTCCCCAACAGTCACACAAATGAGCCTCTTTGACAGTGCAATTCACGTCAAAGCTATGGCACCACCAAAGAATAGAAGTCAAGATGTTTATAAGCCTATCCTCTCTATTTCTGCAATCAAAATCAAATGTTAATTTAATTAATTGATCTGATTCAAATCAAGACTTATATGAACACAAATTAGCAATTGTAATTGAACATAAAAAAGACAATTAAGTAATTTTTCGTTTTCTTGACGAAGCAAATAACGAACTTTTACACCGAACATGAATTCAGGTGGTAGAATTTATGGCCAATAACTTATATAAAATTTGACCTGCAAATTGCAACATCAATCGCATTCCCTCTTGCGATTACACACCCATACAACCAAAAAGATTCAAAAATATAAATAACAAAAATTGAGAATTTGAACATTTATACATGCCCCATCAAGTTGTGTATGATAAGATAAAGGGTCCGGGGAGAGAAATCGATTCAAAATAGATTATGGAATGAGACACTTTTGACAGAGATGTAGTATTTCTTTGAGGCATTTCAACAAATAGTTCAGTGCATCATGTGAATTATACAATTACAACCGTAAAACACCTACAACAAAAAAAAATTACATGATTGCATCTGTAAACCCCCACATATTTATATTAATATAATGATATAATTTTTTTAGAAATTCTAATATATATAATGACGTAAGAATGAAACACATAGACTATAACAGTATAAATAAATATTTGTGAGACAAATTGATTGTGAAATTTAAGTTGCGAAGATATTTAAGCTTGGAAAAGGTTGTTAGGTAAGTTCAAAACATTTTTAGGTCAAAATAAGATTTCTATTGAATCCGGAAGGTCGATAAACCTTGGGAGAAGTAATATGGGGTGTGTTAGAAGTTAGAAAGTGTTCCGGAGTTAAAACACACTTTAGAGAGAATTTGGGTAAAAAGGATCTTGGACACTGCCTAGTATTTTGATCGTAACTTTTTTTTCTGAAGTCCATTTGATCTGAAATTTTGACAGTAGATAGTAGACTTCTAGGGTTACAAAAGTGTATTTCACGAAAAATTTTCAATTTGACTTCTAAATGGGCCAAAACTGCACTGAAAGTTGGAGCAAAAATCTGTCAGTCAAACCGTACCGGTACGCCCAAATTCAGAGGCTAAACAGTACCGGTACTGCGTACCGGTATGCTTTATTTAAAGCTTGCCGAACAGTAAAAAATTCGGGATTTTTTTGTTTTAAAGCACCATTCTAAGCCCCATTTGTCCCATTATTTTGATTCCACTCTCACCTCACACCTCTTAGAACCCTAGGAGAAGATACAGAGAGAAAGAAAAGGAAGGAAGAAGGTTTTCAAAGCTTGGGCTTTTGATTTGAAATTCTTGATTACAAGGTAGGAGTTTTCTTCCATTTTTGTCCATTGATACTAGAGCTAATATATATGTATGTTTTGACTCTTAATCTTATGTATTTACTATGGGTTCTTTGTTTCTTGGTCTTCTTGCAATTATTATCATGTTTTAAACAAAGTTAGGGTTGAATATCCATGAAATCTCTTTTTCTTGATTTAAAACCCTAGTTTTCAAGAGTGATGGATTTTCCTTTTGATTCTTCCTTGGTTGTTGATTTCAAAACCTTAGTGCTTTGTGTTGAGTAATAAAATGATATTGATGATGATCTCTTGCATTTTCTTCAATGTTCTATTGAAATGATACATGTGAAATTTTGGGGATTGTTGAAATTACTTGTGTTCTTGGAAATACCCATGGAATTGGGGGTTTTGGAAATTATTTGTTATTGATGGAATTGTTGGTATTATATCTCTTGTGTGGTTGTTTGGATAAATATATGCTATGATTGACCGGGTATCATGGAATGGGTAGACGTCTTCTTACTCCGTGCGGGTTTGGACATATCCTATCACTCGTAGTGGGGTTGGTATCTTGTGAGGATCAAACCACTATTAGCTCACGGGTGCCGTGTTAGAGGATTAGTATACTAATGTCTGGGTTGGATTCGTCTCTGCCATGGTGTTGGCACACGCCTTTCCCAAATGTTGGATATCCTTGCGAGGATTTGTGTTTGTGGATATGTGAGGCATGATGCTTTCGATGGTGACCATGTTAAATCTTACTTCATACTTGAGATACGAATACAGTGGTGAGTTATTGTTCATTGTACCAGAAATGGTTTCTACAAGAATCTTGGGAAGTATGAGATTCCGCAAGAACTTGGGAGAAACGGTTTATGGTGGAATGGATTATTAGTCGTATATTACAGTGGTTGGTTATTGTTCATTGTACCAGGAATAGTTTGTACAAGAATTTTCGGAAGTATGAGATTCCGCAAGAACTTGAGAGAAACAATTTATGGTGGAATGGATTATTAGTTGTATATTAGTTTCACTTATGCATTAAATTACTGTTGTTGCTTAAACTTGAAATCTGTTTAATTGTCCCTGTTTTATTTCAAAATTCATATATGCTATTTGTGAAAGGTGACCGACTGTTTTTATATACTTTTCTAAACCTTGTTCGAGTATGGGAGAAATGTTACTACAGAGTTTAGTGTTCATCCCCTACAAATAATATTTTTTAGATTATGTCCTAGAGGAGTTGGGAGTGGATGAGCCAGCACACTGGGAGACTCCTATAGAAGGGAACATGGATCCCGAGGTGGACGCTTAGAGCAACATTATCTTTGTTCTAGATTAGGAAATTCATTTTTGAAACATTGTGAAGTCTAGCTTTTTTTTGTAATTTCGCTGCGTTATGATGGTTAAATTTTTGGGATGTAAATGTCGTGGTTCAGCATATCAATTTGGGTAATGTTGTAAATATTTTATGGAAGATGAATGAAGTCTCATTTATTTATGGATTATATTAGTGCTCTCATGATATGAATGGTTTTAAATTGTAATACCGTTCAAGATAATTTTTGGAGCTTTACAGCATCCCCACAATAATAACCAAAATGGATACATCATTGAGTGCCAAGTAGAGAGAGCATAATCAATCAAACTCGTCAATCAAAGGAACCCATACCCAATTAATCAAAATAATTAACACAGAGATTTCAAAAGGTAAAGCTGTGATAGAGGAGAGAGAAATGCAAGACCTTGGTTGTCAAAAGATGTTTTTGAAACTGCATCAAACAGCCGATGTAATTCAGCTACAATTAAACAACTGATGTAATTCAACTACAATTAAGATTAATTAATTGTTTATTTATTTTTTATATAGTGCCTAAAGGCACAGTGTAACAAAAAAAATCGATAATTTCAAGAGATAAAACTACCGATGTAAATATCCATCCACTTTAAACAACCGTACCTGAAGTTTTTTGTAAGTTATAATCGTGTTTATAAGCTACAACTGTGCCGAAATTTTCCCAAAATTTTTCCTAACAGCACACAAATCTCAAATTGCAACATCAATTTTCAATCACATTGATCTCCACATCAGGCAAGTCGCGGGTTATAGATCAATTGCAATCTATAAAATAATAACCAATTTCATTTTGGTTATTATTGTGGGGATGCAATCATGTAATTCAACCAATGTAAAAGGAATCCCTTTTATATTCTAACATCGCGGGTCATCCCTTTTATATTTTATAGATTTCCCTAACATCACGCAACTTGAGTCAGGGTTGAAGATATCCTAAATATTATTGCATTATATTGGTCACTAAATATTGAATTTGTATGATTTGTGTTTGTATATGAATTTGATCTTGTACATTTTAAATATTAAGTATATTTTATTTAATCTATCTCTTGATATCTGAGTGCACAATAACTTGAATTTAATCTTGTATATTTTACATGTTAAGCATATTTTCTTTGTTAAATTAGATTTTTTGCAAGTTAGCTTTTTCTTTTATTGATTATAGAAAAAACAAAATTGACTATTGAATTTGTATGATTCGTGTTTGTAGTATTGCTTGAATGAAAAAGAGAGATGCAGAGGAATATTTTTGTAACATNTATTTGGATAAACATATGCTATGATTGACTGGGTATCATGGAATGGGTAGACGTCTTCTTACTCCGTGCGGGTTTGGACATATCCTATCACTCGTAGTGGGGTTGGTATCTTGTGAGGATCAAACCACTATTAGCTCACGGGTGCCGTGTTAGAGGATT